GGGGAGAGCCCCAGAGTGACCCCTGGGTGGGTCTGTGTGGGACAGGGGGGTCACTGGGGGACACCAATGAGGGGGGAGAGCCCCAGAGTGACCCCTGGGTGGGTCTGTGTGGGACAGGGGGGTCACTGGGGGACACCAACAGGTGGGAGAGCCCCAGAGTGACCCCCAGGAGGGAGGGGTGGAGGTCCCTTCCCACCCACTCAGCCCTCACCCCTTTCCCACATCCGTGCCTGGGAGATCAGGAGGAAGGAGCTGGGAGAATCCCAGGGGATGAGGAAAGGATCTGGGAATATCCTATGGGATGGGGGAGACAGGGGAGGGACCTGGAAGTGAATGTGGGGGGCTCAGAGCATCCCATGGGACAGGGGAAGGACCTGGGAACATTCTATGGGACAGAGGAGGGACATGGAAAGGTATCACGAAACAAGGAAAGGACATTGGAGCATCCCATGGGACAGGAAAGGACCTGGGAACATCCCACGGGACAGAGGAAGGACCTGGGAACATCCCATGGGACAGGAAAATGACCTGGGAATATCCCATGGGACACGGAAAGGACCTGGGAAGATCCTGTGGGATGGGAGGGATCAGAAAAGGACCTGGGATTGGAGCAGGGGGAGGGCTGGGAGCATCCCATGGAAGTGGGAAATGGCTTGGGAGCATCCCATAGGAAAAGAAAAKGACTTGGGAACATCCCATGGGACAGAAGGGGACAAGGGAAGGACCTGGCAGCAAATGAGGGGGCTGGAGACCATGCCAGGGGATAAGGGAGGGATCTGGGAGCAGCCAATGGGACAATGGGGACAGTGGGGCCGGGGTGCACAGCCCCATCCCCGTTCCCTCACCCCCCATCCCCGTTCCCTCACCACCACGGAGCAGGAGGTGTTGTCCAGCAGGAACAGCTCCGCTCCCACAGCCAGGAGCACCATGGTCACCCTGTCCTGGGACAGCACGGCCCAGCACGGCGGCGGCTTCTGCAGCCCTGCGGGGACAGCGTGAGACCCCTGGGACAGGAGGGGACAGAAGGGGACAGAGGGACAGGCACGGACAGGGGGACACCCACCGGGGACCTCGGGCAGGCGGCGCAGCTTGAGGTCGTCGATGTTGGTGGCGAGGGAGAAGCGCAG